CCGCCGTTTGATGGTCCCACGCCACCTGCCAGACGGCTTAGGTTTCCGTCAAGGTGGTACTGCGGGAGGCAAGTCTGCCCAGAAGAGCCCTAGCTACCGATGACGTAGGGCGTCCCCGCCCTGGGATTGGCTGATCTTCCTAGAAGGGGGGGGGGGTAGTGATGGTGGGCTACACCACTGTCTAACACCCTGAGTTCAGGGGGGGGGGGGCCCCCCCAAACCCGCCCCCCCCGTCTTGCCCCCCCCCTCTCCCGGCCCCCTGCAGGCCCAGCCCCCGCCCAAGCAACCCCTGACTTGTCCAGCGCGTTTGAGAATTTACCGGAAAAGCTGAAGGAGTTTGGGAACACTTTGGAAGACAAGGCCCGGGCAGCCATTGAACACATCAAACAGAAGGAAATTCTGACCAGGACCCGGTTAGGCCCTTTCATGGCACGGGAGGGATGTCTGTGTAAAATCCCTAGTGGGCAATCCAACACTGATACAGTGGGGAAGTGATTGACACTGCCCCTGAGGTCTTAGACCTAGCACTTAAGGTGCTTGGAGCCTGGGGAACAGGCTAGCCACCTGTTAGAGGTTTTTCCTGGTGGTAATGAAGGGCCCACGCTTGGAGCTGGCGGGCTACCTAAGACCCTGACCTCCCCCTACATGTTCTTGAGACAGGACGTGACCACCAGTCTAGAGAACAGGGACAGAAAGTAGGGGAGCTGGGGTGGGTGTCATAGTGGGGGCTGTGTAGGCCAGAGGCTGTGCAGTTCAGACTAGCCGAAGAGACAACTAAAGAAGGGAGATTAGTGGATGCTGGGTTAAGACCCCAGCAACTAGCTGGGTGCTGGTGGCACACACTTTAATCCCAGCACTGAGGAGGCAGAGGGAGGCAGATGTCTGTGAGTCTGAGGCCAGCCTGGTCTACAGAGCAAGTTCTAGAACAGCCAAAGCTACACAAAGAAACCCTGCGGGGGGGGGGGGGGGGGGCTGCAAAAACAAAACAGAAAGAGACCCTAGCACTTTGGAAGGCTGAAGGAACCAGCCTGGGCCACGGGGCAAGACTGCCTCAAACCAGAAACAAAAGAAAAAAAACAAAAACGAGGGGGCGATTTTGAGGGGGAAATGAAGGCGTCCAGAGAGGCATCTGGTATGTTGTAAACAGGTTGGTTAGCCAATTTCTGCTCATTTTGGCAAGTAGACAAATTGTTCATTTAAAGAGAGGTGTGAGTTTGATTATGAATACCCAGCCAGGCCTAAACTTGTCAAGAAAGTGTCCTGTGGAGGGAAAGTGCAAAGGCCCTGAGGCAGGAAGATCTATAGACAAGAGAGAATGGCCTTCCAGACAAGGGGAATGACTTGGGCCAAGGAGAGAGACAAGGAAAAGGGTGGTGACCGCTTAGGCAAGCACAGGCTAGAGAAGGGGTAGGCGGAAAGCAAGAGGTGGCAGGTCTTATGGGGTGTGGTGGCACATGCTTTTAATCCCAACAAGAGAGAGAAAATAAGGTAAAAGAGAAAGAAGCTAACTAAAAACAAGAAGACCGGGTGGGGGAAGGCCGTGTGTAAAATGCCTGTTGAAGACCTGAATTTGATACCCAGAATCCACAAATTGAAGAAATCAGTTATGGGGCTGGAGAGATGGCTCAGAGGTTACGAGCACTGGCTGCTCTTCCAGAGGTCCTGAGTTCAATTCCCAGCAACCACATGGTGGCTCACAACCATCCTTTTTTTTAAAAAAAAAAAAAAAAAAAGAAGTCAGTCTTGAGGCACAGCAGCTAAGAGCACTTGCTGTCTCAGCTCACATGTCAGGTGGCTCACAACAGCCTGAAAGTCCAGCTCCAGGGGACACAGTGCCGTTTCCTGACCTCTGCAGGCAACCACACATTCATGTATAAAATAAGGCTTAAAAAATGTATAAGTGGCCGGGCATTGGTGACGCACGCCTTTGATCCCAGCATTCGGGAGGCAGAGGCAGGCGGATCTCTGTGAGTTCGAGGCCAGCCTGGGCTTTAAGAGCTAGTTCCAGGGCAGCCTCCAAAGCCACAGAGAAACCCTGTCTTGAAAAACAAACAAACAAAAAACAAAAAAAAGAAAAAAGTTGAGGCTAGCCTGGGCTACATGAAACTCAAAACACACACACACACACACACACTGCCACACTGATGAGAAAACAGGCAGAGAAACTGACCCTCCCCCCAGGATTTTCATCCCACTGTGTGGGCGGGGATTAAGGAAGGGGACACTAAGGGAGTAGCAAGCAGGGGTCTGGGCCCCTTGAGAGCTCAGTAAATAGTGACCCTGCCCTCATCTCTCTCCAAAGGTCCTGGTTTTCAGAGACATTCGGGAAATTGAAGGAGAAGCTCAAAACCAAGTTTGACTTTGACTGAGTGCCTGGCGGGCCACCTCACGCAGCAAGGTGTCCACCTGATGTAGCAGGTCCCTCCTCATCCCACACCAATAAAAAGATTGTGGTGAACAAATAAATACTCCCTGAAGTGCCTGCAGTGGGGGGGAGGGGACTGAGGGACAATACAGAGAGTGGGTCGACCTGTGGGTGGACGTGTTTGTTTAACATATTTATTTTTACATGTATGGTGTTTTGCCTGCGTGTATGAATGTGCACCACAGAAGCCAGAAGAGAGCGTCACCTCCCCTCAAACTGGAGAAGGTTGTGAGCCACCATGTGGTTGCTGGGAATTGAACCCGGGTCCTCTGGAAGAGCAGCCAGTGCTCTTAACCGCTGAGCCATCTCTCCAGCTCCCTACCCCTGTCTGCATTGTCTTAATTTTATGATTCCCCGAAAGAATCTTCATAAGCACACTATTCATGTCCTAGGAGCATTGCGACTCAGAGAGGTAAAGTTATTAGGGCAAGGTCACACAGCAGGGAATTGGACTGAGTGCGTAGCTTGGCATGATCATGGGTTTGCACTCTTCTGGTTTGGTTGATCCCTACACAGAGTAGGTGCTCATTAAACTCTTAAGTGGAAAATGTAGGTAAATAGAAAGCAGATTATCAGGGACTAGGAAAGGCATAAAAGAGCCAGAAAGACAGACACAGTACCAGGCCTTAGGACCCGTGCCTCTTCCTCCAGGAAGCCCTCCCAGCCTCCAGGCTGGGCCAGGCTTCTCCATTGCAGCTCTGCCGACTCTAGCTGCTTATCTTACGGGAACTGTTACCATGAGCCCCACCCCCACTCCAGAGAACTGTGCCAAGACTGTTGTTGACAATGGATCCGCAGCCATTGCCCACCTAGAGCTGACGACAGTGCCACCAGCATTTAATAATATTGGGTCAAAACAATGATTGCTTAATTTAAACACATCAGTTTTTGGCTTTGGGTTTTTTGTTTGCTTTGGTTTCCTTGAGAGGGGGTTACAAGACATGGCTCAAGGAGGCTTTGTAGAGGAGGCAGACCTCACCTCAATAGCATCCTGCCTCAACCTCCTGAGTGTTTAGGTGTGTGCCATCATGCTAGGCCTGTCTTAATAAATACACTGCATTCCCACAAAACTCAGGGCCTGACACATGCTGGGCAGGTGCTCTAAAACAGAGCCACACCCAAGCCCCTCACTGGGGGATTCTAGACTGGGGCTCTACCACTGAGCCACGCCCTCCAGCCCCTCACTGGGGGATTCTAGGCAGGGGCTCTACCACTGAGCCACACCCCCCGCCCCTCACTGGGGGATTATAGGTACCACTGAGCCACGCCCCCAGCCCCTCACTGGGGGATTCTAGGCAAGGGCTCTACCACTGAGCCACGCCCCCAGCCCCTCATTGGGGGATTCTAGGCAAGGGCTCTACCACTGAGCCACGCCCCCAGCCCCTCACTGGGGGATTCTAGGCTGGGGCTCTACCATTGAGCCACATCCCTGGATGCTCACTGAGGGGTTTCCTCTTTCCTCAGTTCTGTCCTTCTTTTTGAGACTGGGTCTTGCTATCTACTTCCTACATAGACTAGACTGTCATGGAACTCCCAGAGATCCACCTGCCTCTGCCTCCCAAGTCCTGGGATTACAGGCCTGTGCCACCATGCCTAGTTTTTTGTTTTTTTGTTTTTTGTTTTTTTTTTTTATGTTGTTGTTGGTTTTTTGTTTTTTGTTTTTTTTCGAGACAGGGCTTCTCTGTGGCTTTGGAAGCTGTCCTGGAACTAGCTTTTGTAGACCAGGCTGGTCTTGACACCATGCCTAGTTTTATGCAATGCTAGAGATGAAACTCAGGACTTGATGTGTGTTAGGCAAGCACTCTACCAACTCAGCCACAATCCCCAGTTCCTCAAACACCCTTTCACTCCAGATTTTCCTGCCATAGCCCCAAGTTGGAGAAGTTAAACCACCCCCCCCCAGATGAGTAAGAAGAATGAGGGTTTGAGGACTCAGCGGGAAGAGTAGGGATTCTCAATCATGATGAGATCAGGGACCAAGAGGAGAGGAGAGTCAGGACCTGGGAGATTTTTGCAGGAGGATCAATCACCATGAGCTTGAGACCAACCTGGCTTCCGTGTGACCCTGTCTCAGAAATCAAGAAGAAAGATAAAAGGAGAGTTTCTGTTTGCTGGCATGCCTGATGACTTGAAGGACAGTCTGGGTCTCAGGGATGCTCCTAAGTCCTCAGACTCCACCTTTGTAGGTCACCAGCCTGTCCCATCCCCTTCACTAGTCTCTCTTCTTTCTCCGCCCATCTCCCTGGCACATTTGTTTTTTAGTGTCCCTCATGTCCACCTGGACGACCTTCAGTCCCATTCCTGTCCCCAGGATGAGCAAACATTGCAGGCACCAAACAGCAAACAGCCCACAGCCACCCTGTGTGATGACTTTGGATTAAGGGCAGAGGACACAGACCTCCCCCAACCCCAGCCCCCCTGCTTTAGCCTCCCTCTTGGGCTGTAGGGCTTGCATGGGGAGGGTCACAAGTTGTCCCAGCATGGTGAAATGCTAAAACACAACTTGATTGAGACCCCACCGACAGCCTCAGTCTCAGTTTCCACATATGTGAGAAGAAGAATGTTGGGTATTAGCAGGATTCCCTGCCTGGAATCCCCCAGTGAGGGGCTGGGGGCGTGGCTCAGTGGTAGAGCCCCTACCTAGAATCCCCCAGTGAGGGGCTGAGGGTGCGGCTCAGTGGTAGAGCCCCTACCTAGAATCCCCCAGTGAGGGGCTGAGGGTGCGGCTCAGTGGTAGAGCCCCTACCTAGAATCCCCCAGTGAGGGGCTGAGGGTGCGGCTCAGTGGTAGAGCCCCTGTGTAGGCACAAAGCCCTGGGTTCAATTTTCAACAATGGGGGGAAAATTACCTAATCTCTGGGGAACACCGAAGCCACTCCCTCTGGGCCCGACGCACAGTGTGTGAAAGGAGACACGTGCCAAATAAAGATGCCATGCTCAGGCTCAGTGGGTAGAGTACTTACTTGCCTAGCATGCTCTTGGCCCTGCGTTCTATCCCAAGGCCTGCATAAAATTAGGCATGGCAGCACAGGCCTGTGACCGGAGCCCTTGAAAGGCACACACAGGTTGATTAGAGTTCCATGCACCCAGTGCTGCATCCGGAGAACGCTTATTCAAAAAAGTCAAAGCCTGGCCTGGTGCTGGTGGTGCACACCTTTGATTCCTGCATTCTGGAGGTAGAGGCGGCAAAGGCAGCCTGATCTAAGTAGTGAGTACATAGTGAGACCCTGTCTCAAGACAAACAAATAAATAAAAATAAATAAATAAAAGCCTGGAGTAGTGACTTAGAGCTATTGTTCTGCTTCTGTTTCCTGGGTCCTGGGATTATGGGCCTGCACCACCATGCCTGCCTGTCAAATCTGTTTGTTTTCTTTTTTTAATTCAAAAATGAATAAATGAATAGCAACTGACTTATTTACACTGTGGCTGCGGGTCTCCTGATGCCCTGTCCTGTCTCAGGCCAGCCTACAAGCCAGGTAATTAACCAATCACTTGTCAGTGGGAAGCAATCAGCCCACACTGGTTAAGCAACTTGCCATAAACTCCACACCCCTCCCTCTCTGCTGGGCAGCAGGGTCTTCCTCTGCCACCACAGCTCAAACTCAACAATACTCCTCCCTCAGCTTCTCAAGTTTTTGGGTGGCAGCCATGCACCACCACGACCCTGTCCAGCAAGAGGTCCTTTTTCATAACAAAAAATAGGGAATCTGTGGTGGGTTAGTTTGTGCTTCAGTTTTCTTTTTTCTGTTGTGGAAAAAAATAAAACAAAACCACAGAACATACAAGTTACCATTTCAGCCACTTTCGGTTGTTTAGGGCAGCAGTGTTGAGTACATTTACACTGTTGTGCAACCAACCCCAAAGTCTATTCCTAAAATGTTTGCATCACGGCAAACAGCAGTTCTGCGTGATTTTTTTTTTTTAACTGTCTGAGAGAAACTGACATGTGACAGGTCAGCCCTCTGCAGGCGTCTGGGTCCGGGTTATATGGTCACTCAGGCTGCAGCAGGGATTCCCTCTGGAGATTTGCTCCCTGGAAACAAAGTGTGCTGAGCATGTTATTGAATGTCATCCCAGCACTGCGAAGGGAGAGGCAGGAGGATCAGAACTGCAAGGCCAGTCCAGGTTGCCCCCAAGAACCTGTCTCAGCAAACAACAAACAAATAAATGAACAGGAAGCCACGGTGTTCACAGTTACATTCCCACTTGAGTTGAATAGGTAATGTTTAAATATATATTTGGTGAAATTCCCAAATCTGGCATGAAGCACATTTAATTTTTTTTCCTTTGGTGTGGTTTACTCTTGAAACCATAGAACTCAAGAGGCTGAGGCAAAAAGTCATAACAAGACCTTGTCTTATTTGGAGAGAGGGAGGGAGGGAGAGGCAGGAGGAGGAAGAAGAGGATGTAAGATGGCTCCGAAGGTCAAGGTATCTGAGGTCACGCCTAACTACTCAAGTTTGACCCCCGGGATCCACAGGGTGGGTGGAGAAAACTCATCCATTAAAGCTGAGGTTGTCCTGTGATCTCCAGTGTGTTCGGTGGCATGGACACACACACAGACACACACACACTGCATACATCCACAGACATACACACACACCACATACACACCACACATATACACATCTACAGACATACGCATTCACAGACACACACACCACATACATACACACTCGCAGACACACACACCAGGCATATACACACACACCAGGCATGTACACACACACAAAAGAATAAATATAACTAAAAAGAATTAAGGGTTACTGGATTGGCTTAGTGGTTAAAAGTAGCCTCCAGAGCATCTGAATTCGATTGGCACACCCACATCTTGCGGCTCCCATCCAGTTCCAGGGGAGTCTGGCACCTCTGGGGGCACTCACATGCACACAGGACACAGACAGACACACATACACATAAGTAAAAATACACTTTTTTTTAAAAAACATTGCCACGAGGTGGTGACACACGCCTTTCATCCCAGCACTCAGGAAGCAGAGACAGGCAGATCTCTGAGTTCCAGGCCAGCTTGGTCTACAGAGTGATTTCCAGAACATCCAGCGCTACACAGAGAAA